AGGGCAAATATGATCCTGCTATAGGCACTACCAAGAAAGGATTCTCGTATCCTTCCTTACTTAATCTAAGGGAATCAGCTATTCTATAAAATATGGTATCTCCTGATATCACATTGTTTCTTTCGGCATGGGTGTATATATTCTCAGGTAAATTAAAAAAATCCCAAGTCTCACCAAAATCCTTTGAACGGTAAAAAAAGGAAGGTGGATTTGGGTGTCCNCTTACTTTTATTAAACCTCATGAGCCATTTCTTGCTCCACTCGTCCAAAAGCCTTTTTGTATGTATTCTTATAAATAACAGTACTGTAACTAAAATAATACAGACAATTTATTCAATGGTCCTGATAGTTTAAAAAAATAATGACAGTAATGGACCGAAATATGTCGTAATGAGTCCAGCGGACTCCTTGCCCGGATTAGGGTTAAAACTCATCTAGAATAAGGTTTGAATTAGTCAGTCGCTCACTCACTCAATCACGATTTTCCTATTCTAGAAAAGAAAAGATCCAATACTTTGGGAATGGGTTGTCATTCCTTTACACCAAAAGGAAGTGTTTCAAGCCTCTGAGACCTTAAATCGGGGGTGTCCGAACTAAGGTGAAAGTGTCTGCACTTAATTATTTTCGCATCTAAGTTCGGACATCCGCAATGTAGGCAATATCGGTAGTCGTAAGGCTAAGAATGACAAAATCTTGTTGCACTCATACCTTTGTTGCACACATACCTCATTGTGTCATGCTTCCAGGAGCAAATAATAATAATAATATTTATTCCATCACTCTTGCAAGACCATTAGGTCCGTTGAATTCATCATATCTGAAAACAACAAAAGTATTAATACATACTCTCATAAAGAGGCAGAAGGTGAAGAGAAAAATAGATAAATAAACAGAAATAGATAAATAATATAAAATACGTAAGAAAATAAACAGAATTGGACAGGACACACAGGACTGGACAGAACACACCAAAGCTGAACACATAAACATAAGTATGAAATCAAAAGGGGTGAGGTATAAGAGAATGACAAAATGAGGAGTGTGGGGAAAAAAAGCTGAAAAATGAAGCTTCCAGCTTGTACCGTTGAGATAGGACGAGCGAATGATGAGGCTGGGCAAGCTTAACTGTCTGAACAGCGGTGGTTTTACTCTAGGGCGTGAAATGTTCATTGAAGTTCCTTCTTTCGAAAAATTTTGTACTGCATAAGAAAAACATTTTTTTGCATATTTTTCCGCGTTGATGCATATTTCATGCATGTTTTGGCATTTTTAAGTGCATGTGGATGTGCATTTTTAAAATTCATTAGCTCATAAAAATCCGCTCCCTAATTATAACCCCCCGCCACAAGTGCAAGTTTTCAGGCGCGAGAGCGCTCTGTAAAGTACTTTGTTAACACCCTAAGAGCAAAGTAAGAAAACATTGACTTTTCTTATTTTCTCTTGAGTGTTTGATGAGCGAAATAAAGTAACATGGGAACATTGGAGGCTTCCTATATTATATTTGGCTTGAGGTGAAAATGTGAACTATAGTCTGAAGTCGCAATTTTTTACCTAACTCTCAACTTTTTACAGACTTAATTGATATATAGTTGCTAAATGTTCCCCTTCATCTCAACTCGATAAAGGGGGACGAGAGTGCGCTGGGGCGACTTTCCAAACGTTGATTTCGTGACTGATAACCACGTCTGCCCTGACCTTTTAAAAGGGGAGGTAAGGTTAACTCCCAGTTTCACTTACTCACCCTATGTAAGATAGATACTGAAAGTGACTTGGAGTGGATAGGAACTATAGTCCCTCGTGGATTCAGAAATCATTGTTCTTATGAAGAATCTCATATTGGAGTGATTTGATGGTATGAAATGCACAAATTAGAAGGTCATACAGCTAAAAAACTTGCATCTGGACGAACTGCTTCCGTAGGAACAGATGGTCTAACCAAATGACACCACATAATATAGGGCTGTGACATTCTTTAAAGATCAATTTCGTTTGTCCGAAATAGATGAATAGATTCCGGAGAGACCATCGGTTGACCGTCGGATTTCTTTTCCTTCCTTATCCTTGCACCCACAGTCTCCAGCCTGACCAGCCGCGATTCCATGTGCGATTTTCCCTTCTAAATCAAAGCCACAAGTTAAAAAATGTTTAAACGGCTCTTCTAGCCATACATCAGAATCCGTCTTACACAGGGAGGGATAGTGAAACTGGGAGTTGACCTTGTATTCTCTTTTTAAAGATTGAAATAGATATGGCTATCAGTCATGAGAATCAGGCGTGGAAAGTCGCCCTCGGTGTACTTTCGCCCCAACCGTGTGTAGATCGAAGATTAAATCGCATCTTGTGATTCTTGTCAATCGGAATGCGGGGGCGAGTTTCCACTGGGGCGAAAATGGAGGTAATCCTCTGCTTGCGGGTTTCGGCTCTTGACGGCAGACATCGATGAGGACACGGATGAGGACGTGTTTGTCTGTGAATTATGTAAATTTGCATCTATGATGCTGACGTGGATAACAATTTCAAGCAGCAATTGTTTTGTCATATAAGTTTCATTGTTGTTTCCGTTCTGTGGCCTTGGGAAATAGGCATAATAATGAAGATATGGGAAAACATGAGAAAAGTAAGATTTTTTTTTTGATTACTGTTTCTGTTCTTTGACATCTGTAAGGAGGAATGTAATGAAGACCCCAAAACGAGAAGGCATCTGTTTGTTATTTGTGGATGTTTCGTTTTGGTCTCTGCTCTTTTACTTTTTAACTTTTTAAGTAGCCATATAGACCATATAGAAGACACTGGCAAACTTGTGGAATATCGTAGGTTTGTTATTTGTATATACATATTTGCTGTTTCTGTTCTGTGACCTATGTAAATAGATATATATCATGAATAAACTTCGTTGAACAACTTTTGGACATTTATCCCGTTTTGCCCCGTAGGGCATGGGGCAAAATGGGATATTTGACAATAATTTTTAGAATTGTTGGGGTTCAAAAACCGTCGCTGATTTCGCGATGAAGTTTAATGCTAGTCGTAGTTAAGACATGAAAGGTACCGCATACCCATCTGCAAGGTGCTACGCCAGCTCCTTGGTGCTAAATTTTAGCAATTTCCCTTAACTGCCCCGTTTTGCCCCACCTTCCCCTACAGGAACGAAAACGCGAAGGCAACTCAACATTAATATTTATACGAGAAAATGTATCGGTGGAGGAGTAGCTGATTATGCGTGGAGCGCACACTGTGCACATCACGGGCCAGAGCACCTCTGTGTGCTAGTAAAAATGATATTCTTTGCGAAAGATTGGGGTGGGGAAGAATTATACGAGAATTACTTGTTAAAGGGTGAAGGAAATATGGACCTATCGTTAAGAGATTGATTCTAGAGCTGCGAGATATCAGTTCTTCTGAGAGGAGCGGAAGACGGCACTGAGGGAAACTGCTTTCATGTGGAGGAAGTCCTTGTTTCTTAAGATGATAAATTCTGATATACAAAATTCCCATCTGCAAGTTGTCAGTCGTAAGGACGAGTCGGAGGTCTGCTTAGTGAATTCCAAAGTGCAGAGGAGAATTGTCATTCTTTATGTGGGACTGGTCTCCTCGTTGGCGTCCAGGTGCGAGTACAAAAATAAAAATTATAGTTGCTTTCCCAAAATACTCATGTGCTAAAGTAATTAAAGATGAACGAGAAAACATTTTTAGATGCTCAAAGGATGTGTAGAAGTGTGTATGAAAGAAACTTCACTGTTATAGTTTTTGTTCCAGAGGCGCCACAGATTTTTGAAAGAGCGGCACGTTTTTTGTGCCTCACCTGGTACAGGGTGGGCCATAAATATTCATCCCAAACAAAAGTCTCGTGTTTTCTGTACTATTAATTTTTGTCAAAATAAACTGAATCTCAACGAGACACAAAGACTCACCGCGACAATTCACAAAATATTTTCATTTTGTCCCCCTTCCTGATGGCTACCCACCATCTTCGAGTCTGCCGGTTCAATACGGACGTGGTTTCACTCCGCTTGCAGCAGTAGCCTTAAGTAATTCAGGTCGCTTGTTTTCGTTTTTGGACACTTACTTCCAGCAGGCTCCACATAAAATAATTTATCGGATTGATGCCGCACCTGTAAGGGGGCCATAAATGTTTATTAAAATAATCGCTGCCATGTGATCTGCTAGACAGGCTTTTGTGCATCAGTCTTTGTTGCTCATAGAAGGAGTCCTATCGAAGCACCCAGTATTGGCCGCCAAAAAGACGCTGACGTGTAAGTACCACACCATTCTTCCTTTTCTTGGACATGCAGGATGAACAGTTACATGTGGTATGACTATTCATGTCCCATCCTGTATATGCGAACACCACAAGGTCAGAGGGTGCTATTATTCAGCTCCAGTTTGGCCCCAGGTGATGAATGCCTTCCAGAAATAGCATTCAGATTAATGTCTACTGTTCCACCTTGTTCTCTGCTGTGAAAGAAGCCTTTCATGGGTGCTATGGTGCTACATCCAACATGCTCTGATATCAACAATTTTCCTGTGACCATGTCAGCTGTTTCCAAAGTGTAAAAAGAAAATGCAAGAGTGCAAATATGTACAAGAAGAATATGTTGAGAAGACAAATTGACTTTTGTCTATGTACGTGCAGAAATGGAGGAGGGGCACTTTTGTTGCTTGAACTTTATGATGACTCCCTTACACTCCAAAGCCCCAAGCCAACAATAAATAAAGTATATGATTGAACCTATTGTAGGTCAGGATTGTACTAGAGTACAAGTTTCATTCTGCTTCACTATGCACTTCTTCCTGAATATTATTAATGGATAGCTGTTTTCTCATTTTGCTGGCTTTTTCTTTCTCCAGCAAATTGTTCATTCATTGATGTTCTATGATGAAACTATATTGAATGAGAACCTATCCTGTTGGGAAGCTAGGTTGGATGTTCAGTCCATGTTGGTGCTGATGATGTGATCATAGGGCTCTGGAATTTTTAGAGCATCTAATTAATATGAAAGAGTCCTGAATTTCTGAAAAGTGAAATGGATGACTCCAAATGGAATACAGGCTCTGATGATGGTCTTGGCCCTAAAGGCTCCTTTGATGATGATGTCAACAATGGAATCAGCTTTTGGTTGGAGGCAGGAGAGCCTGCAGGTTTTGCTGCATCAGAAGAACCTGAAAGTGGAAGAGAAACGGCAGAGAAAAAGAGGAAGCAAAGAGGAAGAAGAGGAGGTAGAAAGGGAGGGGCATCTCAACCCAACCAGCAAAGGGGAAAGCCATCAATAGAGCATTCGAATGCAGATCAATCAGGAATACCATATAGCACAGTCATGACCAACTATGTGTATGGTAAGTCGCATTGGTTTCATATTTGACATTAAGAGATATGTAGCTTGCATGGAACATGTGCTCAATAGGTCTTTCCTGGTTGTAATGTCCATTGGTGGAAAAATGTTATCCTTGTCTTTCCCATGTATCATTGGCTCTTTTAGGTCCTAATGGAAGTGCAACTGGGACATGATATGTATAGATCAAACAGGAAATGAAGTTTTCATTTTTTTTTTGAATTAAGATGAAAATCCTACTGGTCCTTTGTATTGCCTAAGTTATGCTATTTAGCATAATGTTGCGATATTGTAGCATGTATGTATGTAGCATAATGTTGTAATGACCTGTTGCATGTTTAATTCAAAATGAACTTTCAAAAAATTATATTTACAAAAGTTAATGGCTTTCAATCACTATGCATGATTTGCAATATGATCTAATAAATAATTTTGTGATTCACCATTACTTTTCCCTCCTTTTTCATGCCAGGAAAAATGCCTCTTGCAGCACTAAGCACCCTCTGCCTCAACAATGTTGCCAAGTTTGGTCAGTAGATAGCAAGTGCCTATTTCTGCAAGCTGCAAAGAGAAAGAGAGCAGTCTTTTCCATAGATCTCAGTACAGCAATTTTATTATGATTCTCGTCTATAGCCTTTATAACTGCAGTCAGGTCATGAAACAATGCAACACCTGCAGAGGTCATGCATGCCTGATTGTATGACATACTGTTTGGAAAAGATATGGATTTTCATGTCAATGTGTGAGGTTTTAGTCATTTTCCATCACTTTTCTTGGCTGCAGGATGCTTGCAAATCTTTTGTATTCTTTTTTTTTTTCTGAGATAGACCACTAAATGGTCTCTACTTAAATTTCCATTGAGGAGAGGGAGTAAAAATTGAAGATTGATTCAAGTAAAAAATATATTTTTTAAACCACATCACCTTCTTATTGGTGATAAGTAAGGAGTCTAGCTGAAGCAACTTTGCTGGTTGAAAAATATAGGTGAACCTCATTTCCAGACTGTTCAACAGATGCAACTTTGGCTTGTATGGAATTTTGATAATTTTTTTCCATAAGGAGGCACACATTGCTTCATTCATATACTGTACACTTTTGGCAAAGAATACACTAGCCAAAAATGCATTCATAGCTCAGGATTGATTTGCTTTCAGCTGCTATTTTTGACAATGGAAATGTGTCCCCAATAGCTTTCCTGATGAAAGGTTTCTTTTAATATACATTCAATGTCCACAAAATTAGAGATACCCCTACATTCAACTTTCCATGCAGCTACAGCATAACCTAACCTAGGTTAGGTAGGTTAGGTTGTGACCTAAAGCAGGCAGCCTTGCTTTAGTGTCTGTGTTTTGACTGCAGAATGGGCAAATCAACAGACCTCAGCGACTTTGAAAGTGGAAAGCCCAGGAGTTTGCCTTGCTCCAGTGGCCCGCACAGTCCCCTGATCTCAATCCAATAGAACATCTTTGGGATGAGGTGGAACGGGCTGTGCGGGGCTTGCCTGTACTGCCATCAAACAAGCGGCAACCGAGTGACGCTGTGCTAGCAGCATGGGCCGGGATACCTGCAGAATGTTTCCAGCACCTCGTAGAATCCATGCTACGACGAATTGATGCTGTTTTGAAGGCCAAAGGCGGTCCAACCCGCTACTAGTGAGGTATCTCTAATTTTGTGGACATTGAGTGTATATGCATCCAAATCCATTTTGCACTGTTGTTCTATGGTCCAAAAAATGGATTTTCTCTTCTGCAGCTTTCTTCTAATTGTTTCATTCAGTTCTAGTATCACCTTTGGTAGTTGAATGCATTCCATGCCACACCTGCTCAGATGGTGCTGTCATGTCTAAGTTTCATTAAACACCCATTGGTCAGTGGGGATCAAAGGCATGCTTTAAAACTATGTCCACTTTCTGCAATATGATTATAAAGATAACATGGCTTAGTGTTTAGCATTGATATTTTTTGCTAATAATGGATAAACGTATGATATATTGATTTATGCATTGCATTTTTGATTGGAATCAGTGAAGATATAGCTGAAACAGATGTGTTTTCTCTTGCAGATGCAGATGGTGAAGATATGCATTATTGGGTATGTTTCATCAATCCTATAGATAATGTAAAGCCATCTCTTTTTGTCATTTGTATATCATTTGGAAGGGCCCTTTTAATTCCAGCCATATGCTTTCAAGTAAAGCATTGAATGCTTTTGGGGAGTTCTAAGCATCCCAAATTTAAAAAATATATGGGATTAGTGAGGATAAAGCTCTATTACTGCTATTCATTGTCTCTTGGTCTTGCTATACATTGTGTCTACTGTTAAATTCACTTTTGAAAAGTCCAAAATCAATGGGACATAACAGAAACTGCCTAAAAAATTGCTGAGTTTGCCTACCTTGTTTATATGAGTTCAGAAGAGTGGGATCCACTGATATATGATATGAAATGATATAATGGGATACCAGATGCTAGAGGCTATAGGCTCATGCTGACACCCTAGTTATGGAGTGCCAGGAACACCAGCTAACCTCCCCCTCGTGTATTACCAGCTAAAACAAATAACCTCTAACCCCAAGGGACTCAATCCAGCCTGTACAGTTACTCTGGTGATGCATTATCCCAGTTCAACCTTTGTTCAACCTTTAGGAGCAGGGTTCTTTAGCATCCCACATCTGGAGATGGGAGTGTCAAGTACTTGGGCATCTTCCTTCCCAAGCACACTGAAGCTTACACCTAGACATAAATGCCTAACTAGAATGGGTTTGAACCTGGGCTCCCTGCCATTAGAGTCTAGCTCAGTCCATATGGGTCCTTGCAAGAAACCTACATTGGTACATGCATGTGGGTCTCATTGTCATGAACCTATTGGTGTGGAGTTCATTATTTCAAGACATCAAACTCTTTGATTTCAAGTTTTAATATATCATGAGCATGTCTGTGTTTGTTATAGCACACTTTTAATCACATTTGTGTCAACAAGACTTAACATTGACTTTATATCAAGTTTCTTTGTTTCTTGTGAATCAATTGCATATTGCTTTCATGGGGAATCTCCTCATTAAAGGAACATAGGTATGGAACATTTTTTGGATATGCTCGTAAATGATGACAGAAAACCTTTAAGGAGAGTTTTGAGGAGACATATTTACATTGGTTTTCTCTTTTGAATTATGCTTTAATAGGTTGCCATTGGATTTATGACATGGTAAGTTCTCTCATGGATTGTCTTGCATAATCTTTACCATGCTCTATTATAAGTTCCATGAGGCTTGCAGTTGCAGCAGTTACCTAAGACTTTGTTTCCAGCATGCAGAGGAGATAAAAAAGAAGATCATGAAACTCCTAAGGGAGTCTACAAGCGGAAAAGTTCACACAAGTAGATTGGGTCATCCAGCTATGATGCCAATGGGAGATGTTTTGGAGCTCCTTAAGGGGCATGACCTGTTCTCCATTTCTGAAGAGGGTGTCATTTCACTCACTCTTGAAGTTTGTGATGCCCACCTCTCAATTGAAGGATGTGAGAAGGAAAATTGTAATTCACTCCATGTGTGTACCAAGTATGTATGCGGAAGGTGCCCTCGTGTCAAATGTGACGAAGGGCATGACTTCAAGACAGGGCACAATATGAGGGTGCTGAGGAAGTTTGGCTTGGAAGATGAAGATGAAATGGGGTTAAGAAAATTCATCCAGTTGCCCTCCTTTGTTCCTGAGATTTGCTTTGGTTACAATCTAGGAGGGTGCAAGAAGGAGTCAGACTGTCAGAGATTACACATATGTGTCTGTCACATTATGGAGAAGTGTGATGATGCACAATGTTCTCTGAACCATGATGTGTTGGATGATCATTGTCTTGGAGTCTTAAAGAAATCCAAGTCATATTCAGAGAAGACAAGGAAGGAGTGGAAGACTTATTTGAGAGATGAATGGGAGAAGTCTGGCAAAGCTAACATGGTCCTTGAGAAAAGGAGGCAGCATCACGAGGGAAAACAAAAGAAGTCCTCATCTAAACAGATGAACTCAAGGCCTCAGGAGGAGCATCATTTGCCATGCAAAAGAGTCAACAATATTGTCACTGCCAAGGTAACTCCGAAAAAGTGTCACCTCTGTTTCCAGGAATACTTCTGATTTACTATTTGATGTAATTGTGAAACTTATTGATTCACTACCAAAAATGAAATCAAGAATGCTCTATTGCAGTATGTTTCTTTTCAAGTCAAGTAAAAAATAGTACAAGTATTGGAAAATCAAATGGCATAAGCATGCCTTCTTACATGATGCATAGTAAACCTTAGAAGTAATTTAACTTAAGATTTTGCAGTAATGAATGCTGGTTTTTGCGAACTTTCATGCCTCAAACTCTCACTTAAATTGATATGGCCACTGTTACCCCTTCATTTCAGTAAACAAACAGATTCAGTAACACTGATTTTTTCAAGGAAAATGCTTCTCATTGCAGTTTAAGCTTCAGGTACTTTCTTGCCTTTAGTCAGAAAGTGCCCTTGCTCCATGTCCTATGCTTTTGTCCTTTTGGTGGAGTTCTATTCACTGAAAAGTTTTGTCACTCTGAAATCATGCACTTTACTCAATTGCAGGTCCCAGTTCCACCAGAGTTTCGAGGACATATGATTGGAGTTAAGGGGAAGGTGGTGAATGAATTCATGGAAGCATATGGTGTCAGGATCCACGTCCCCACTTTTCAAGATTCCTCTAATGACATCATAGTAAGGAAACATAAAGATGGGTCATCCCCTCTTGATTCTGAATTTTTGAAAAATTTGAAGGAGAGGAGGGAGGATATCACAGATCAAGATTGGATTCCTGCAAAACCTATGTTTTTAACTGCGAAGTGCATAATTTTCTGAGATAGGTGTAATCCACAAAGTTTAAAATTGTAATTATCACCAAAAGATACAATCATGAAGGAGCTAACCAATCCTGATGACATTTGGTACACATATTTCTACTTGCCTACCATGACATTATTTAGTTTCAGAGGTGTGGATTAATTATTCATGGACACAACTTGCTAAACATTCCCATTTCAATAGTGGCTGTGGGTCATACTAATTATCTGGAACAGTCACATAGAAGGCTTTTATCGATTTAATGTGCAAGGAAAACTCCTAAAGACAAGCAAAAAAATTCAGGGAATGGTTCAAGGTCCTGAGGTAAGGCAATGAAGAGAAAACCTGCTGAATTCCCAAGGAATGGGAGAAGAAGGTGGTAGCATTGGAGGCCCCTGCTTCCTTTTCTCTTTCCCTCGAGCCTATGGGGTTGTTGTTGAGAGTCTAACTGCAGGAAGGGTCAAGATGTGATCTTTCGATGCAATTTCAGTAACTTGTGGGAGTGTTTGATGAATGTAGGACAATCAGGATGCTGACCATGCATCAACTTAATGCATTCCTCAACCTGATGCTTGAAGTTGATACATGCATACTAATGCCTACTTGTGGAACTATAGTGTTTCACAAACTGAACATGAACTCCTTTAATTTATCTGATCATGTAATCATGAAGTATAGAATATGCATTGCTATTAATTCACAGTAACTGTCTCTCTCAGGCTGGCTTTGACTTGTGCTAGCCACTTCTTTGATTTCCTCCACTGTCACATGCTGCCTTTTATGTGATGCCATGTTTTCAAAGGTAGTGATTTGATACAATAACAAAGTTCTAATGGCCTACAGCAGACTCTCAAATGGCATGTGTTGCCATCTCACGAAGAAAAATTCATATTGCTCCACATCATATTGCCTGTCAAGTAGTAAAAGAGGCAATAAAAATCCTATTGCATATATATCCCTCATACCTGCTTGACAGGTTAAAATAATATTTCAGAAGGCAGGTAAGAAAAGATTTTTATCCTCTGAATGCAGGCACTAATAAAACAGAATATAGACTCCCTCAAATTCAGAATGCTTTTTAATGTTTCATTGAGGGCCATGGAGAAGAGTGAAGTAAGTTGCAGTAACCAAAAAATCAAAGATTCTAAACCCCATTAGATTTTCAATAACATTAAAAGTTTCCAGTACAAGTCTAGAGTTCAAGGAGCTGCCAGAATTTGCTTTGGAATACTGCATTCATGCCCTAAGGAGTCATTTGGTTGCCTCTCAATTAGAATTTTCCTTTTTTTTTTAAATTGCATTTCATTAGAAGTACTATGATATTCAAATGTTGGTGCCTTTTTGTTTCTTCACCTGAACAATTTGGGCAAAATATGGTTTATGTATAGATCATGAGATTCCTGTTAATTGATTACAGTTATATTTGAGCTTATGATTGACTCAGATTGTTATGATATGGCTGGTTCTGTGGATTCTATATTCTATTTATATCATATTACTGCATTGTAGCTGTTGTGTTGCCAGTTTTGATATGGAAAAGACAAGGGATTTCTTTTGTACTTGTTTCTGCTTGCTACAAAACAACTCGTCAAGGAAAATTTGTTAAATGAGTGGAAAGAGTAAGAGATAGGATTTTTTTATGGAAAGAGTTGAACATGTGCAAACCTTTCTAATAATCTCTTCCAGGTGACAGGCCCACCTACTAATGTGGAGCAAGCCAGGAAGGCTGTAGAAGAGAAGATTCAGCAGTTGAAGTCCCAACGAGAGGACAGAAAAGCTCGTTCATTTGAAGGGCGTGTGAGTCTTGCTTCTTGCTCATCATTCCCAACACCTTATGCTGTTGAATTTATAAAAGTTCATTTCATTTCTACTCCCTACTTGGAACAGTGAGTGATGATCTGAAGAGCTAAAGAATTCCATCTAAGAGTGTCTGCTTTTTTTTTCAAAAACATCCTCATTTGCATTCAGGTGCAAGTTTCAGGGAAGGAATACAATTATCATGTTATGAACTGGTCCTCATTGTTCTCCATGAACTTCAAGACTATGCTTTCTTCATTTTCTTGACAGCTGATGGTACCAACACGATTCCATGGAAAATTAATAGGGAAAGGTGGTGAAACAGTGAATAAGCTGACTCAAGACCATCAAGTGAAGATAAATTTCCCAAAAGAAAACACACGAGGTCCACCTGATGAAATTATTATAATCGGGTATCGGAATCGTGTGTTGGAAGCTGAGAGAGCAATTAGAGAACTTGTGAGTTACTTACTTAGTTACTGAGTTATTTACTTATTACTAGTTGGTTTGGTGTAAATGTTGTTGCTTGCTATCCTGAAGCTTCCATATAGAAAATAAATTTTCTGTCATGTTTGAGATTAAATTGAAGGGAAAATGAGGAATAACTGGTAAAAGGTGAACTTGTCATCTTAACTTGACTTAAATTTTACTGGAGTCCCTGTACTTATGTGAAAGTATTTTCTTGTGCCTAGGTGCCATGGCCATTGCCACGTTTGCTGGAACGAAGTCAGCAACAAGACACACATGCCCCAACATCGTATTCCTCGTCCTCAATGCCTCAGCCAGTAAGTGCTTTTCAATGGCTTTGTAGAAAGCTTGGTGATGCTCAAATTTCTTTTTTTTAAATCTCTTACGAAATTGTCATCAAAAAGTTATGTGGGATTAACATGAAATCATTAAAGTGAAATATTCACATTTTTAATCTTTAAAGGTTTTGTTTTTTTGTAACTTTTTCCCATTTTGCTGATAGATGCATCAGGAAGGTTTTACCATAGGTCCATTATTCTGTACTGTCATGATTGTTTTGTTTCACACCTCAACAGAAATTTGAATCCATGTCATTTATATTTCAATTTGACATGAATACATAATGATGAAGACTTAACTGGCTGAAGACTCAGTTTCAGAGTAAGCACTAATGTATTGCTCTTGCACTCATTTTGAAAAAAAAGAAAGATAATTTACTCTGATGATGCCACTTAGGTACATTCCCTTATGTATGAAGTCAACAAATGGCATGAAGGATCAAGTTTTCCTTGTATGCAATTGGACTAAGAGGCATTCCTCAGGGATATTGTGTAATGTCTTTGATAGTGTCTTGAGGTTTAGAGTTTAGCCCTGGACCCTGGAGCTTAATTTCTCAGGCAGAAGTATACCATAGGAGTGAGGACTGCTTGTGATTAATAATTAATGGTTGTGTATAGAAATTTAATAGTCTTTTTTGAGTTTATTTTGAGTCAATTTCAAGTTTTTATTTAACCCTTTACAGCATGATCTATGAAACCTTTGGAGGAAATTTTTATTATTGAAATTTCATGTACAATTCCTTAAAGGTATGAAAGCAAGATATCTTGCTTGGTGCAATTTTGGGTTTTTGTCAAAATGGAAGAAGTGTGCAAAATGGGAAAAATGGCAACAGGTATTATTTGTGAAACCTTAGACAAAGATGTGAGATGAATATATGAGACAACTAATGCATGACAAAGTCTTTTTTTCAGACATGAAATACGATATTGAAAAAATTAAGGAGATTGTGGTGAAATAAGGCAAAAGGTTTTTACTCAGCTGTGGCGCTGACTTGGTGCTTTCAATATGCTGCCAGTTGGTAACAAATATGCATTTGAAACTTATTGGTGTTCTTCCCATTCTGGAACATCAAGGATGTTTCAAAAATTCCCCATTGCCACATAGTGAGTCTTAAAACAATTTTAAATAAAAATTATTATGGTATGTTCCATATCTAGCCCACAATGCAGTAAAGGGTTAACTCACGCTCAAAGATAGCATGACATATATTTGTGTCAAACCCACCTGGGGAGCGTTTCATCATGATGGATATGTATGTCATACCCACATTTGAGGTTAATGCTTCCCCATTGTATTTCTCATCACAAAAATTTGCAAGTTCAAGAGTGCATTGCTATATTGTGAGTTTTCATTGCAAGGTGGAGTCCTGAATTCACATGAATTTAAGTGACATCATGGATTTTTTTTTGTAGATTAGCAAGTGGGACTCTTTAAATTTATGGAAGCTGATGTTATGAGTGAATACTTTGTCACTTTCTCAAGACAGATTCATTTAATTTCCATATGTGCATGTACATCAAACTTTCCTGCTTTGAAAGAGACCCCACAAAAATATATTATGTTGAAATGGAGCAGCACAAGATTACATATGTCCCATGAAACATCCCATGCAATCAAATAGTTGGGATTGACACTGGTGCTGCACCCCATACAGTAGACCCAGCTTGCCTCTGTGTAATTTTCTTCTGTTCAGACCAATGAAGACTTCCACTCAACAAACACATTTTTGAAGTTATGAAGCTGTGAAATGAAATTTTGATTGCATTTTATCTCAGCATAATTTTTTCAGTGCAGTTTCATTGCTCTTGTTCACCAATGGCATAATTGTGTAGATTGTAGCCAAAACCACGTGGAAATAATTCATTGGTAAAATTGTTGAAAAAAAATTATTGCACCAAGTAAAAATTGAGTATATTTCTATTTTCTGAGTATTATACTTAATGAGAAATAATGGCATCCAATTATCACAAATAATAACATTACTTTTGAATAATTCCTCAAAGTTCCAGGCTCTTAGTGATGTAATTCCTAACTTTTTTCTAGTCTGAAATCCCATGTGAAATTATTGGTTTCTATCTTGAAGGAAAATCCACTTGGCCTTAGTATGGAAAGTGAGGTAAATTGGCCCATAGCCATGTAGCATTGCAGAAAGTGTACTTTACTTTCATTGACTGCCTGTAATTGATTGACTGGTTGCACAACTTCATTGCAGAATGTGGTGGCATCCATAAGAGTTGCACCAAGTGTCCCTGCACCATCATCTTCATTCTTGTCATCAACTGCTAGAACTTACCCAAGTGCAACAGCAACACCAGTGACTCAGACAATGTGGACATCATCACCTCAAAGTAACCAGCAGCCATCCTCAATAGCAGGAAGTACTATTCCTAATAATAATTACAAGCAGTCATCCAAGGGTGAAAAACATTACTCTACTTGTGTCTTACTCTGATCACAATTATTAGATTTGGTGTTAAATGGTTTATATCATTTGCTTCAGTCAAATTTGAATTCTGATGCTTGATAATTCATGTGCAACAGAGATTTTTCAAATCAATGCTTTCAAGTGACACTTTCATTCACAGGGTATCTCTTTCTTCTTGATTGCAGTTTCATGCAAACTGAAAGGCTTTATTTTATTATATTTAGGTGCTCCTCTGGTGCTTTTTTTCCCCTTTCTTGCTGTTTATAGGATTTCATGAATGAATTTCCAAGATTTATTATTTGATTTATGACCTGAATGATGTTTAGCATGAATGTGAAATCCAATATAAAGCATTGATTATTATTGAGCAAAACACCATTGGTACATAGTCTGATGCCTACAGGCATGTGCAGAAAACGTGTGCACATTTTCCATCCATGCACAATTTACAGCCAGAGTACTTGAGCGAAAGAGCGTGGCATCAAAGTTTTTCTTCATTGGTTTATCTGAACTGGTAGGGGCCCTATCTAAGTTTCTAGACAAAAACTATCCAAAGTCGACAAACAGCCTAGGACGCCAAACCTGAGTTTCATTCAGACTTGATAACGATAATGGATTCAGTCAAATGAAAACTCCAAACAAAGTAATTGTGTCACCCTATACACCTACCAAATTTCATCTGAGTCAGCAGCCTACATTCAGATTGACAACTCACCAAAAAAGACAGTTTTTTTTTGGCTCACCCTATAAATATCTATGAAGGCTTCAAAGCCAGTAGACTTGGCTGTGTTATTTAGTGGGCCAGTACTTTCCCTGCTCATTATTCCCGCGCATGGGCAATAGGCGATCTTTTAATAGCGGTTTATCCCTTATTCCTTTCCTTTGGCAGGATAAATGTGGAATGAGATGAACCAGGCGAGGATGGCTGTCTTTCACAAGGACTTAACTCTTCTTGCTGCGAAAAGCGACTTCAGTTGCCCGCGGTTCTATTTTCTCTTCATAATTCACGCAGCGAAAGGGTTAATGGCCAGTGCAGTAAAATAGATATTACGTCCTATTATCGAAAAGTGGTTGAAGTTTGTGGGCTGATGCTTCGAATCAAAATTACTGGTAACATGTGGAAAAATTAATTTTTCTTCCTTTCTAGATGCGTCAAGAGGTCAAAGTAAGTGACTATGCTAAAGGAACCCATTTTAAAATGGGAAGTGTGGAAAATGGGTTCTTTTGCCATAATACAGAGTGGGCCAATAAAAACCCCTGAACATTTGTTATTGTTGTTTCAGAGAAATATTGAACACTGACATTGACGCCGCAGTGGTCAGTCAATGAGCGTGTATGGAAAGTTGAGCTCTATTTCCGGAGTTAAGGAGCTTTGCTGAACCCAGAAATACAACTTTTTTTTAATCTGGACAACCCGAGAGAATATATGTCGCATATGTGCCTATAATTCATAGCCCAGACTGCAGGTCATGCAAGATTCCGGTAAATAAATATTCCACTGCCAAATCCAACAGGTGCGGGTGGTTTTTAAAGATTCGATTGAAATTTGGTCAAAAAGAGCCTGAGCGACAGATACAGTATGTTCCAAACGGAAGGGAGTGAGTCTGCCAGTTTGACTGGATGCTTCCTCCACACACGGTTGGTAGTGTTCCACAACCCAGTCTAGCTAGACAGGCATAGAGAGATGCTATTGTTTGTCGCACGGAAAAAAGATTTAAAATTAAGCATTTGAAACCTTTTTGCATGAAGTTACTCACACCAGTTGGATGTGACGTCTTATAAATTTATTGCCGATGTCTTGTATTGCATTATATCTACAGCATATTGACTTTGGGATCTTTTTGCGCCACCTGAGGGTACATGAAGGCACCTATATCTGGTCTCAGGTTGTTCATATTTGAATCAAAATAACTCCTTTTGGTTATGTGTACATCTGCAAATAGGCTTGGACATGTATGTCGTTCGCCCTTCTCCCTTAATCTATTATTCTTAACTCTGAAAATTTAGGATGAGACAAAGCAACAACTTCGGCTATGCTCCAGTGCCCAAGCTCTTTTCGAAACGTATTCATGTCGCGCCAAAAATGACTTTCACTTGCGGTTGCTGTTAACCATCTGGTTCGTTCTATAGCCTTTCGAGAATTCACCCTCTAAAATATCTGAAACACTCATTCCATTTGGATTTGAGATACGTTTGACTGCAATTAGCCACATGGAGATGTGGCTGGCATGAGGTTTCATGCCCAGACCTCCCAAGTAACAATGAGCATAAGTTACTTGAACTTATCTATACTGGATTCAGAAGGCGTCACAAAATATGGTTCAGGAGTCACGAATGCTGTCCCTAAGTTGTTCGCAGTCTACGGATCTGACAAATATGTCTACTTTGGGCCCGTCACGAAGATTGAATATTGGTATTTTTCAGTGTTAGTTCCTGAGTGTCAGCTTTTTTTCAGAAGCCATAGTAGGCCATTGTGATTAATTGAAAATATGCTCTTACAAAATAAGTCACTTGGAGCTCCTCAAGGAGTGCTGAAAAATGAGAAATGAAGTCTTTCATTTGATATTCATGTTCTGATCTACGTATTTAATGAGAAAAAAACCAGAACAGTCGCTGAGAAAAAAAATTCCGGTTGTTCACATTATTCCTTTTGCATGCCAGCGAATGAAAATGGAAATTTATCTTCAAAATGGCACATACCATGCCTAAAAGAAAATGCAATCTTATAGCAACGTCTTGGAAGTCATCTTAGTTGTTTCGGCCAATTTCTATTAGTTCTTTAGAGCGTTTAGAATAACGAGAAGCATATCTTTCGACTGTAGAGTATGGTGCCATTCCTAACTTAGACTTCATAAAAAGGAAAGTCTTAAGGAAACAATGAGTATTTGAGTTGCTTCATTCATTATTATGATTTACTGTCCGCAGGTAGACTTCCTTGCTTACCTTCCCAGGTCATTTTATAGCTTGCTCATGAAACACTCGGAGACTTCCAATGGGACAATCAAATAGTAAAAGAGTTGGTGAGTATTTTAATTCGATTTCCATTTTCACTCAATTGTATCGAGTAGACCCATCAATTGTTATGGCCGCTATATGTTCTGTCTTCTCTTTGAGTTTTTTTTTTCTAGTTGCCATTGTAATTAAATCGTACAGAGTAAAGTTTTTATATTTGGGAACTGCAGGAAGTAACCGACTCAATTTATTATTTATGCATGGCCCTTATCTACAAGGAACTTAAGAGCTGCCCTTTTGGCGTTTTTATATTTAATTTTCCCCGAAATTTTCTTGAAGAGTGCAATACCATGACATCTCCAGATAGAATCTCATACGTCTCATACGACCATGACTAACACATTTGGACCTCCATTTGTAAATATTTATTTAAAGGTGCTTCCAGTTGTAATTACATATACTTGAGGGTTGTATGAAAAAGTCTTTTTTATTGGTATAGAAGCCCATAACAGAGAACCTTATTTCAAATTCGTTTCTTTCACGATACACCTATTAGAAGTCTGTGTAGTAACCCTCTAGATCAGTGGCCGGGAACCTATGGCTCATGAGCCAAATTTGACTCACGAGCCGAAAAGTTTGGCTCATTGAGTCATGACTGAAAATCTTGGTTGTTTCTCATTTTTCTCATGTATCAAAGAGTTCATGTCCCTTGCCATCTTCGGGAAAAATTATGTTTTTCTGAAAATCTTTTGCTCACAAGCTCACAAGTTCACTCTTAATATGGCTCACATGGCCACAAAGGTTCCCGACCCCTGCTCTAGATGGATTTACTTTGCCACCTTTGCACCAGGCCTTCGGTCCCAGGTGTGACACCTGCCTTAGTCATGGTGAGAAGAGACAACGTAGTTAAGGTTTCATTGATGGCTTCCTCGTTTTCAAATCGACGTCCGCGTAAGTTTTGCTTGACCTTTACGAAGAGGAAAGAGTTGTATGGTGAGAGATCCGGCGAGCTAGCTGGAAGAACTGGTGTATCTCAGCCCAAGTGTTTCATGGCGTCCATGACCGTTCTCATGAGGAGTGCAGCTGTGTTGTCTCGCGGAATGATGGACATTTATGAGATCGGGCTACATCAAGGAAGCACAGAAGCGAGAGGCTGGGGCTGATGATCACGAAGAAAAAGAGTACGCAAAACCCATCTAAAAGTGGAGTCAGACATGAGGATGTCTTAACTAAAATCCTTCAAGACCGAAAGAGTACAGATCGAGGTCACCACTATCGATCGGGAGGCGTCACACCTGGGGTGTTTGTTGCCCCTCCCCCTGCAGCTTCCCTAAGAAAGATGTTTTAAGAGGGTCACCCACTTGTGCTCGGGATATCGCTATCATTACTGGTGACCCCTTCGGACTTTCCATCTTTCCGGATTTCATATGCGATTGCAACCTGAGATGTATGGCTGGTTGTGGCTTGTATGATAATGAGCAATCCTTAATCTAGGCCCAGTTTCTGTAAAGGTCCAAATTGGCTCTAATAAAACTAAACTGAGTTAATTGCTCCTTCACTGGAAGCTGAATGTGCAACTGCTAGAGGAGAAGGCTTTGCCATATCGGTGCCAGACAGTTATGAGAATCATGATGAAAACTCTACTGGCCCAGTTGATTTATGAAAGTACCGTTTCTCCAAACGTATTTGCAAGAGTTATTGCTTCAGTAGGAGAAGTTTGGTCTTACAGGCCAAAGTTTATTCAATTAAAACTCTTTCTTAAATACAGACCGCCAATGAAATAACTTTCTCGAAAGAGTAAGACAGGAGTAGAGTACCGATTTACAAAGATGCTCGGGCCCTTTTTCTATGATCGTCTTCCTTCGAAATTGCTCAAATTCTCATTCACTCTCGACAAATGGATTATAATGAATGTAGGAGATAATTTGAGAACCAAGAGCTCTCTCGGAACAGTGCGTCATGGTAATTAGAGTAAAATTTTCAGGAGTTGGACGCGTGAGTTCTTTCGAAAGCCTAAAGGTCCTTATCCCAAACTAGGTTTTAGGTACTCTTTGGTATGTCCCAAGTCTGGAGAAACTTTCACTTTGATTGCAAGTAATCTTTTGAGCCTCATTCGGATTGTCAGAGGTTGGACTAGTTGCTTTTGTCTGAGGTCATTAATCAGAGTTCTCATTTTCTTCCGCGACTCTTATTGAGTAGTTACATCCTGTTCAAAATGATCACATTTTCCAGACACCCCTCATATGTTATAAGCCGCCAGCCATTTGCATATGTAGATGTCCAAAGAGCTAGCAAATTCCTTCTCGTTCCCAATTTCCCTCATTGCCTTTACTACTAGTTTACGAAGGTCGAAATTTCTGTCAACATCCAGGTATTATGATATCTAAGCCTAAATATATGCTACTTTCCAAACTATGTAGGCCTACCCTTTTGATGGGGAATAGAAATTAACCTGGAATTCGCCTTGCTCCGCACTCTTACAAACTCCCCATTGTCTTGATTTTCGGAATGTGAAATATTCGTATTTTCATTATACGAGGGGTTATCAGAAAATAAGTTTCCCGTGTCTCTCAGAAAAGAAATATACTTCCAACATTCCTCCACGAAGGGGTAATATGAAACCCTGTTCCCACTCCACTTTTCTACATAATCCACACCTACATGTATACATTTGTCCCATCGGTAAAATAGTTTTTCCAAACCCTCGTGAATGAAGTCGCGACCCGAGCGCTCATCATCCTCCACACTCATCTGGACCTCAGCAAATGCACGGCACCACCTCCTAACCATTTTCCCATCGTCACCATGCACAGCAACGATCTGACGGTTGATTTCTATGGGTGCGTGTTTGTTTACCCACGAAAATCGTATCACATTGCTGACTTCACGGTTTCTGTGCGCTTCCGAGAGTGCGGCCATTTTGTCACCGTCGCTGCGCATGCTCCCTGCCAGCAGTGTATGGATGGTAATTGGTAGTATAGATGGCAGGAAGCAGTGTACATATCGGCATATGTACCGTCACGCTCGTACTAACTGTTCTAGAGACATGGGAACATTTTCTGATACCACCTCGTAGTTACAATGAATTTCTTTTTAAAAGTTGGTATTGTGCTGGTCAAGGGAGATCTAGCTAGAAAATAAGTAGCCATTATTCTGTAGGTATGTCACATTGATCAAATGGTCAATTTCAGAATGTATTGTGCAATGCCCGAAACTGTGCAACCGATGTATTGCATATTTTCTAGAGATTCCTCTGCCAGGCCTCATCAACCAATGCTTTGTGAGCAGAGTATATACAAATTTAAACAGGTATATACTCTACTCACATCTTTATCCAGTTCAAGCATGGAACTCATTTGCTGCCGCAGATCTTTGCAATATGACGGAGATGAAACCATATGTTTGGGAGAAAAAATCAGCGAAGTTTTCGAGCGCGGAGGAGCAGTCATGAGAAGAAAAAATGAGATTTTATTGCCTTAAGAAGGTTGGTATCATTTGATGTAAGAACTGAAGCATGACGTTAATTGGAATATTTTCGCATATTGACTTGTTTGTCATCTCAATGAAATCATGGAATTATGGGCCCAAATGATAGAAAAATTCACCCTACTTAAAATATATTGCACTCAGTGCATATATTTTAATGCGGTTTGTGGCATTGAAAGACGAACAACTAAGTTTTGGAATGGCGCACTTACATTCCAAATATCTTCAGAACTGGTCAGAAATTCGGAAAAATACTAAAAGCAAAGAAACACTGCGTTTTTTTGTGGCAGCGGGGATGAACAGGCGGCTAAAGGTTACGTGCCGTCTGCATCCGAGTGTGCGGCAACCCTTTCGTTTCTTATGAGATCCCGAATTTCTATAACTGTTGAAGATATTTGAAATGTAAGTATGCCATTTTAAAGCTATTAATTACCCTTTCAAAATGCTGCAAATTGCATTACAAATATACGGTGAGTGAGGTGTAGTATATTGTTGAAAATTGTCCGGTTTTTTTTTGCCTACCCTGTCTTTTTCCACCTCTAGAGGGCCGGCTTACTGGAAGCAGTGGTGATTGCCAGATTCAAACAATTTTGCTGCAGAATACTCGAAAAATAGTCTATCATGGGCTTCGAAATTGATATTTCTTTTTTTTTCCAGCTGTTTGATAATTTTCTGAAAGCTGCCCTTAAAAGTGGCACAAATGAAAAAAAAAAACATTATTATCTTGCTTAACCATCTCATCAAATTAAAATTTCAGCATCGACATCTACTCGCACAAGATCTGAAATGTCGTCCTCACTAAATCGTCTCCCTCATGATGCAGCCATCATGGATATAGGCAAACCCCTGGGTGAGATTTTCACAAGCACTATTCAAGTGTTTTTTGCGCGGCGTCCATGTCAGTAATCGATTATTGCTACAATTAAGTGGAATAGAGAATGACAGTTGGGCACGCCAGTGCCAGAAATATCAAGCTGCATTCATAATTGTGATCACAGTTCGAGAAACCTGTGAAATGCATAAGTGTTATTTATGGGCAATTTGCAATGTCATTGCAAATTGCTTAATGCCATTGCAGTAAAGAAGAATGTGAATATCAACTACCATCAGTGATTTTTTTGAGAATAAAATATCTTAAGAAAACTTCGCTTAGTCAAAATAAAGCGAAGCGAAGCCTTCTTTTGAAAATGAAACAAAAGTCCTTTTGAATTACGAATTGACCTTTTTAGATTCACTCATTTTTTCCCATCCCCACATTTCTACTTTGGACGCAAAATGCTCATTCCACAGTGTCCTCACCTAAAATTTGTCATTTCTAATCTGGTGCACATCGTTCATGCCTCTTTTTATGTTATTGATTATCTATGGTGTTCATGCACATTAGCTCTTTGAATAACGCCCTTTCTAGAATCAGTTCGTGTCTCAGAGAGCGAGGCAAGTGTAAAGCTTGGAGAAGGGTCACAATCGAAAGAACGATGTCGCTACTGGCCCAATTGTAAACAAAGAAGCAGTTGCAAATATTTTCACCCCACAGAAAATTGCAAGTAAGCTTGAGTCGCACATTTGCCGTTGGAGTAATTAGTTATGTGATGTGGTGAGTCAAATCGAAAATTTCCAGGGAATTTCCAAACTGCAAGTTGGGGAATCAGTGCTTGCTCGTTCATCCAAAGTGCAAGTTTGATGCCGTCTGTACAAGGTCTGATTGTCCGTTTTTGCATTCATCGCCAAAAACGTCAAGTGAGTCGCACCTTCTGTCTTGGACTGTGTTGATCAACCTATGTAGCGAATCTCTGAAGGCCATAATCACGATACTCATGGAAGGAACAAAACTTTTCAGGTGCTAAATTCATCAAGGCAGGACACCGCTGTGGAATATCGCCGATTTGAAACCTAGTTCGCGTTTCATGAACCATTTCGATGCGGACGTGGGAAGTTAGGCCTATCTTGAGTTCCTCGAACCATCTCGAATAGGTCTGGGGGAATGCCTCCAGGAAACATGAAATCCATGGCGCGCGCCATCCTGTTAATTCAGGGATGTCCGGATATCCCCATATCCCACCACATCGATCAATCACTGCTAATCACCGCTACATTCTCAGCTCAACTCCTGAACTCAGCACAAAAATGTCTCATACGTAAAATATCAAGATCTAGACGCCAATACGGAGGTTGAAGTAGCCTTGAATTTGGCTTAATTTCGGCACGGTATCCGGCAACACTGGGGACAATACCGGAGCAAGCATTCTAAGTCTAATTCAACGACAGCTAATTTCACTTTTCATGGCGAAATGGTGCATCGCTCACAGCAAAATGGGCACTTCCGTCATTACGAGGCAATATCTCTCTCTTTCCTCCGAAAACCCCCAGGGGGGGAGGAAAAAAAACAATGAAATTCACATATTTCAATAGTGAGATTCAGTAATAGGCGCTACAGTGCCTATTGATTCAGAAGGAAAGGGAATTATGTAATGGTTTGCTTTGCTTCTCCCGGTTTTTATTACATCAGTTTTCTCTGTTTGATGGATTTGTGGCTATGGCACACCAATGAAATTATATCAGCATACTATTAATAGAATACTTTTATAGTCAGTAGAAGCACGACGATCCAACTTCGCCACATTCCTAATCTGTGGTTCTTCACAACTAAGAAAGGCTTTCAGGGAAAATTGAGTACACATTTTGCGGTCAGGAAATTTCAGGAAGCCGAATATGCAGGAAAAATAATTCCTACCCTACTAATTCCTGAAATAAGTGTAATTCCATTGTCTTGGAATAGCAATGTAACTCGCTGGAATGCATGGAAAAGATCAAAATGCAGCATTCTGACGCAACACATACCATGGAGGGAGGACGAGTTGCTTTATTGTGGAGGCTCCGTCTCTTCCCTTTTAGGGAATACAGATCACGCTGTGGTAAAAGAGGTTATCTAAGGGATCTTGCTTGTCAACCACTTCCAGAGTGGGATAAAATTTCACAAAGGGTTTCTTTTCCGCGGGGGAAGTGAATGACTCAAATGGAGACAATCGAGGGAGGAAGTACTCTTAGCCAGGCCAAAAAAGACTCGGCGGCGCGGTCCCCTGGTAGGGAAGCACAACAGTGACGTGCAATTATGTACGCACACTCCAGGTTTTAAGAGCCTTAAAGTCGTTCTGCTCGTCAGCGAGTAAATGTTGGTTCAACATGAGGCAGAAGGACACAACGTTGGGAACCAACTTTGAGTCCACATCGCGCAGATGTGGATTCCAACATGACTCGATGCAACGAGTGTGTACTACATGGGTACATGCAGTTGTTACCTGTTACCACATTACATATATGATACAAAAGAAACAAAAAAATTTACTGTTTTCCTTTTGGTTCAGTTGAGAAAGGTGAAACAGCAGAGGATTCGAAGGATTTACGAAGACCTAAAAAAGTCAGAGAAAGGTGCCGTTACTGGCCTCAATGCAAACTTGAAAGCACATGCATGTATGTCCATCCGAATAAAACATGCACGTAAGTCTGTCTTGGACATTGGCGATGCCATAGTGGTTATAGAAAGTGAAATACCCTGACAATTTTGATTGATTCTTGTTTCAGGACCTTTCCTAAGTGCAAATTTGGGAATCGGTGCTTGTTCCTCCATCCTGCTTGCAAGTCAGGTGCGTCCTGCGACCAGCCTGATTGTGCGTATTTACATTTGGAACCCCGAAAGTGTCTCGCAAACGCAACAGATTTCATTTGGCAAGTCCAACATCCAGATTCAAAAAAGTGGATTCCTTTGAGCAGGTCTCAGATTCTGGCTCTCGAGGATAAATATGCGGATCCCAACATTGACAAAGTCACTCTGAGGGCCTTTGGATCGAAGGGATTTGGATTCGTAAAGCACCTTCTTGAGGATTCAGACTGTGAGATAGATTTTAACAAAATGACCCTTTTGAAGCTCATAAGTGGTGTTGCTATGGAGATGCAAAGGCTCTGTACAGACTCCACTGCTGTGGCTGGAGAGAAGGTTCTTCCTACAGTGTAAGTTGATCTTCATTGTGTTGTTTCTGACTGCCTACCTCAAGATTCCATCTTTTGCGGGCCCTACTTTTTACTGATATATTTTGAGTTTTCATGGTGAATGTATAGATTTATTTCCTGAGTTGCACTTGTCAATGGGTTCCATATTGCATTGCAGTAACAAGAACAGGTTCATGATTATGACAGCTTTTTCTTCATACGAGTATTTTCAAGCTAATGAAGACCGACAAATTGTATCAGTCTCAGCTGTATCAGCTGACATGGCTTATTTTTGGTTACAATGTTACAAGCTAAAAACTTCATCCTATGACTAGCTGCGGCGATTTTATTTTTTTTAAAGAAAAAAATGCATGGTGCATAAGAGGCTGTTTCTTTTCCCGGAACTTTCCATAATCTTGTTTCTCTGGAATCCATACAGTTGGCTCTGGTACTTCAAGGACCAAACAAATGCATGGGCAGAATATGGAAATCAGGATATTGAAAAGGCATACATTGCATATCTGACTTCTCAGGGAGAAGCCAGTCTACAATTCTCCACCAGTGAATTCAAATATGAGATTGACTTTCTGAAGATGGTGCAGACGAACAAAAATGTAAGTTTTTTATGATTTCTGATCGGCTTATCCTGTCACTCGGCTTTTCATTAATAGGACATAGAAACTACCGCCAGGTGCGGTGATATTTAAAGTAATTAGGTGCTACTACTGATGAGTGGGGAATGAGTAGGTAGGGTATACGAGGTAACTGCATGCAAAAAGCAGGGAGCATATCCTTTTTTTATGTTGCATTATTTTTCTTTAGTGCCTAACCCTTTGCAATATTTCCATCATTTATTAGTTTCCTCATGAATTTTTTCAGTAAAGTGACGGATGTTTTTAAATTGTACGCATTCCTCCTAATATTTTTAAATATAAGGTGCAACTTTCCAAAGATAGCCTGGTTCACTTGCAGCAGCGGCGCCCTTAGGTCTGTTTTGTACTGATCCGATGGGACTATGATGGCCTGGGATTTCCTTTATATTTTGAGAAAGAGGGGAACATCTTCACATTGCATGGTCTCTTGCACTCTGGCCAGTAAAGGACAAAGTAGTTATAATTTTTGTTATAGCGTGGAAATAAACGTTCAAAATTTCCTAATAAATGTCAGTGACAATAAGAGTAAAGTAGCTGGGATATCAAATGTGCATTCAATGCCCGGAACGAGCAGGACGAGAGGTTGGTGAGAAGCCTTTTCAACCTCTAGGAAAAGCAGAAATGCTCTAACATCTGGAATCGATGAATGAGTGGTTCCAGCTTATGGCAGCAACTTGAATTTTCTATCTGCCAGAGTGTCAAACGCCCAGTTCTTAAATGCGAAGATAAACTGCATGTTAGGTTAAATTGAGAAGGAGACGCAAATAGCTCGCATTCATTGGTATAAGCGTAGCCAGGATAATCACATTTTTAAAATGCCGACGGCACAGAGCAACACAGATGCATGTACAGTGTTACCTCTAAGAAGATTAACGCCTTAACGCATGACGTAGCAGATATGCTACATACCAAATAAACATTTTTAGAGCGCGCAGATAGCGAGCTTCTGAGTTAAATCTGTTCGTAGCAGATGTGCAACAGGCCGGTCCTTATACCTAACAACTATGCGGTCGCTCGGTGCATTACACTCCTGGTGGCAGGCAAATTAAAACCAATCGTCGTATGGCAGATTCACGTTTTTTAAATTTAATTTCTAATCCAGGGTCCAGGCTCATACGTATTTTTACATTTTCTTTTGTGTTGAGGCATGTACAAATGTTGACTGAACTCTCTAGCATCCATGCAGCATGGGTTAGAAAGCTGAAAATGTTGTTTGTAGCAAATGAGGAACAATAACATTTTTCGGGCCTACTGCTAACAAATTTGATTTATAAAATTTTTCCCACTTGACTCGTGTACTAGGACGTGAGTGAAACATATCATATTTATTTCGCCGAAAAAGAAAAAAAAAAAACATGCATTAAAATATGCATACGTTTGAAATTAATTCACTCAATGAAAACGGTGAAATAATATTTAACCCTTTCTTGCAATTCCATAAAGGGCAAAATAAAAAATTGCATGATACAACAAAGACCAGAGAGTCTTTTTATTCATGCTTGCCTTAATTACGGATTTAGCTGACATGGTTCATAAAATAGTTTTATATCATGACGAGGGAAAATTCTTTTTTTCTTTATTGGTCTTTTTTTCCTTCAGCTATTAGTATATTACCTCGTTAAACCCTTTTAAAATTTCCTGAAGACACATGTATCCATATATCCATGGGAGGATTCGAAAATAAGGAGAAATTATCATGGGCTCGGAAATCATAATGATTTTTCGATTATCATGGGCTTCTTTGGGAAAACACTTATTAGCACCCTGCATGTTTGGAATGAGCCTGCCCTACCTTCTTTTATAAAATCGACTGGCCTACTGGTAACTCTTCCGTTAATTTATTCATATTTTAAAACCACCTGAAACTTATTTTGTCTCTCAGCCCTTACAACCAATTTCCACTATTAATTTAGCCTCTTCTTTCAATGACAGCTTGGCACAGAGAGAAAAGTGAGGCGACGCCCAGCCCCATCACCAATTCCTTCTGAGTCATCTGGTGAAGCCGCTCATGATTACAGACACGTTCCCAAACATTGGAATCCTATGAAAGATGAACACTACTGCTTGGTCCTTTTGTCCCCAACTGCCCAAGAATACAAGGACATTGCTACCCTCATGAAAGACACTGGCATGCGAATTCGAAAAGTTACCAGAGTTCAGAATCCCTTTCGTTGGGAGATGTATCAAAACAAGAAATGTCATTTTCTCAAGACGGACTTCAAAGATGACCCATCAAAATTGAATGAGAGATACCTATTTCATGGGACGTCAATTGCCAATATACAATCGATTTGCGAGAAGAACTTCAACTGGAGGTTGCATGGAACTGCCCATGGTACTGCATTTGGCAAAGGGGTATACTTTGCTACTGACCCTAATTTGTCAATGAAGTATGCAAAAGGAGAAAATTGCATGTTTGTCGCCCAGGTCCTCATTGGTTTGTACATAGAGGGAGACTCTAGCATGACCTTGCCGCCCTCTGGTTATCATTCCACAAGTGGACCAGATATGATAATCAAGTATTATGATGATGAATTCTACCCTGCTTATGTAATTGAGTATTGATCCGTTGACATGGTAGTTGTTTGGGTGAAGCTTCATTAAGAAACTGTCTCACTCCTTTTTCTTTGCTTTTTGCTGCCAAAGTTTCAAACATTCTATTTTGCTTATTATGCAAATGCAACAATAGCCAACGTTTTTTTCGCAATAGAGCTCCTTGCTTCCTTCCTTTCTAAAGCTGCTGAGAAATTGCTCCTCTTGAATCAATCTTGGTTAGTACTTTGGCTCATGACCTTGGTCTTCCATTTGGTGAGTATCATGTATTGCAATCTCTGAGTCCTTTTGCATCCATAGAACTCATGACTCTGCTCAGACTTTTTTCCTTCCGTGTGAATGATGATATGGTCTCCTCCCATGAAATACCAACGGCGGAGGAATTACCCCAAACGCCCTTTGCTCCTAACTCCATATAGGCCCCTCAGAACCAGAAAAATGACCCGGTTTGATTTCTTGATAGTTAAATCCGTTACGGATAAGAAAAATGTATCGGTGGTGTTCGCCAACTGAAATCATAGAAGGCTTCCGATTTATTTCTGATTTTTCATGACTCTTCCGCTTCTTATCCCAAAAATCACTATCCATCCTGTAGCAGGTGTGTTATATTGACCCCTCATTTGCCTTTGTCTTTAACATTGACTCTGACTCCCTTTTGAACTTTAGCCTTTGTTTCGGTCTGGATTTGGCATACTCTTCCATTCTTTTTTGTGATTGACATGGTGTACATATCGCTGTCCTACAATTCATATTCTATTTACACTATGGTCTATGGCAGAGGTGTGAAACTCAAGTAGGTCGGCGGGCCACATTCCTTACATTGCAGATGTCTGCAGATTTTCCGCCGAAATTTGTGCGGACAGTCAATCCAAGCTGAAACTTCAAGAGCAGACGGCGGGCTTTATGAACTACCTCTGCGGACTGGATCTGGCCCCATGGGTCGTATTTTTGATACCTTTCGTTTATGGCTTATATCACGGTGCTATTCATATAGAATCTTAATTAATTAGGGCAGCATAATGTGATTCGCTTGGGGAACTTTTTCCAGACTGTGAAAGTGTTGAACGAGAGCATAGTAGCTTTCTCTTTGTTTCCTTTTTTCGGAATGATGCCATGCATTGGTCCTTTTGGCATCATCCAACCTCCTCCACGAAGCCATCGCCATGCAACATTCAGGCCAATGGTTTTGTTCGTTATGTCAGACATTTTCTTGCCTCTGAGGTTAATTTTTTTCGCTGTTATGAATCGAGCCTGGTTGTCGCTGAATTCTGTGAATTTTTTCCACTTTCACATCAATTGGACCAGCATCACAGTTATCATGTAGGCATAACATTGATGCTTGTGCGACAGTCGACATTTATCCCGAATGCGGGCAAGCTGCCTCCAAAAATTACTCGAACTAATGCAGGGCAACCTCGCCTACGTATCTGACATCCGCGAGAAACTCCGATACGACTTCGAGGGGATTTTTGAGGGACGGCACCCCGTTAATCACGTCGATATCCTCCACGAGAGTATGCCGACGTTACGAAGGCAGCGGACGTGCAGGAATATGCGCAGCCTGCAGTGCTCGCAGTTGCGACAGGCCCTGGGTCGAGCTATGAGGAATAGCCGTCCAGGCGCAGTTCTGCTAGTGGAAATGCTGAGTGCAGGGCTTTCGAGTGTTCATTGTTAGTATGCGCGGTATTCCATGTTCTTCTGTGTTAACGGATTTTTTAAATGTATGGGCTAACTTGGGGTAATATGGCCCTTCACACTGAATCCCCTAACAGGCTGAATAATTAGTTGGGCAAATTTGAAAAATACTTCAAAGAGCACGTACAATTGTTGAAATGTTTAGACCTGTTCGTTAATCCAGTTCTTACTGTAATTCGAAATACATCGATGTCTTGAAAGTCATTTGTAAGCGATTCTTCAACTCATGACCTTGAAGTTGAAATGAGCCTGGAGCAAGTTAAACGCATATTACCTAGTAGCAGCATGGATGCAGAAACAATTTGTTAAAAGTTCTTCTATGGTCCCACCAGAATATTTGCGGAAAGTTCTTGCCCCTTCACTTGCGGTTTGCAGACAGTGTTGTCAATTTTGCCATGAAAAAATTTTGCCATGCAATTTTTCATGGTAGCACCGCACTGACGTATTGACAGTGTCAGCTTCCTTTCATATAGGACCTCAGGCAGCACTCCCTCTGAATATATGGACAGATGCCCAGGATATCTGGACGAAATATGCACTACATGAGGAACTGGTGCATGAGAATATGTTCATGTACCGCCTCCTGGACATCCGCTTTACAACCCCGGAAATTTTTGTGATATGAAGTTTGAAGACAATTAAATATCCCCCGTACAAGAAAGTCAAAAGGGCATAATTTGAATTTTTTGCCACTATTTATGCATTTATGCAGAAACTTCGGAACGTTTTTTCCTTCAATGTAAGACCTCTTATTTCACCCTCCTAGGGCTTGTTCACTTTAATCTATGTTAGATCACTCCTCTTACACACAGTCTCTAGATATAGTCTCCCAATCATGTGCAATGTTACTCAAAAGCAAAAGCGTTGCATTCCTACTTTCCACAACGGCTCCGAGTCGGGTAATGATGGCGACTTTTTTTGTCTTCAATGCAGTTAGTATTTCTTTTTCAATTGATGAGGGTCATTTATTATATTTCAAGGTACTCAGCTCGTTCCAGTTGATTTCATGCGTTCCTGGAAAACCAGGTTTCATGTTTTTTTTCTTTCAGAAGTGGCCATATTCCCCCAACTATAGAGGTAATATGGCCTCTTGGGATCAACTTGATGTGCCTTATATTGCATATGCCTTGCTGGGATTTAGTAAAGGGAAATATCAATCAATATTTAGAAACATTGTAAAAGTAAAATTCGACCCTGATGGGCCGTTATGACCAGGTTTCATTTTCTATGACCATATTCCCCCAAATTACCTTATTTGTGAATTGGTTTTGTAATATTTTCGTCTAATTTACTTAGAAATAAAATATTGTCCTGGATGGAGAGTGAATGCCTTATTGCTTCATGTTAGGGAAAGAACCAGGCTGTGGAAAGGTTCCCTAACTTGACGTCCGGGTGGTTTGGCGCTCCGGAAGTAAAACTATTTCAGAAGCTGACATATGCTGCCAATGAGGCAACTGGGATATTTCAATCGGGAGAATCAGCCACGAAATTTGTCGAGAGGGAGGCAGGGGGAGCAGAGAGCCCCACTCCCAATGCTGCCGCTGGAGAGAGGATGCAGGTAGTGAGGCAGGGGAAAAGAAAAACTGGGAAGAGTGTGCTGTCCATAGGTTCAGTGCTCAAGCTTTGACTGACGCTAATTAGAAATAGCGTCGGTCACTCGGTCACAATCACCTACATATGAGAATCAATTACTTTCTATTCTAAACAAGGAAAACTGAGGTCAAGAAATTTTCATTCAGTGGCTTGTCTGGACAGGTAGGGACTCAATAAACAAATTTCTGTATGAAACATTTCCAAGGTAGACACAAATAGTTTAAATGGCCAAACCTGCAGGTTTTCTTCAGACTTAAGAATTACACTTTATTCAGACAATTGAAACCCCTTTTTTATTTAAGAAACCTCAAATAAAACATATTATTCTAAGGACTTGTTCAAATGACTGATCTCCAGTTCCAGTAAGTCGTCGTGATTCAGATTACCTCTCAGGAATAAGCGAGAAGTAGTGCTACTTCTCTTCCTATTTCTCTGGAATCGTCTTTAATAGACGATTCAGGGGAAGGTGACGCCTACACAGAGAGAAATGACACGATATAATGTGTCATTTGACACATGTGTATGTGTCAGGAGAGAATTTCTTCACATCGGTTGAGATAAAATGTGTCACAAGGTTGACACATTTCAATGCGTCTAGAGATGCAGTAAGATGTGCCAAAAAACATGTTTCAGTGCGTCAAAACTCATGACACATTATTCCGTGTCGCCCAGACGATCCAGGACCCACTTTTGTGCTTCATTTGACACACTGATTTTTTTCTGTGTAGGAGGGAGGGTAATGCTTACTGATACATGAGGTTCCCACAATGCGAGTCGAGTGGGATCGAGGATCAAAGTCTACTGCCGAGAATTTTACTTTATCGATAACATCTTCGCAGTTATTCAGTCACTCATGTTCCGAGTTTGCCCGTTACAAGGCCTCACATAAGAAAAGCTATTTATACTCCACTTCGTGTCTCCGAAAAAAAGAAGGAAGTGAGAGCATTCGGGACTTCGCCGTTTCTCTCAGGAATTTCTGGGCTAATTTCAAAACGTTTCTTTCTCTCAATTTTTACCGATTCGTTGAGAAATTCGTCGGACTATTTGCGAAGCAAGCGATCATCCAACATATGGCCAGCAAGAAGGCAAGCGAGAGCGCATGTTCGGTTGGCTAATCCAACCGTACATGTCATAGCGTGCATATTTTTAGTTGAATATTTGGGTTACTCTCGTGCCTCCATTCGTCTCATCGATCGCGTTGCATTGACGAGTATGACGTAAGACAGGGGTTTTGCGTGTCTGGTCCTGTTGCTTAGCAAAGGGTTCTTCGACGTGACCTGACCTCATTCGGAGTAGTCGCATCCAATCTGGTTTCGGCCCACACCTTCCCATGTGTCTCTTCCCATCTTTGTATATCCAGGATGTGAGCTTTGTGCAAACTTATAATCCCTGTGTCGTTCTTTTTACAACTCTATCGCTCTATGGAAAAGTACAACCTATTGAGTGAAGTGACAGTTAACTCTATATTCCGATGTGACGTTCTCTCAATTCTGTTAATCATCGCACTTACACAGCAAATAATATGGTTGAGTGTAGGGTGTGCGATGGTTGAAAAATGGGTGTGCACGCATTTGGAGGTGCATTCTCACCTCTGCGCGTTCATTCCTTCCCTAGGCACGCATAGCACACATAAGGGTGTGCAGGCTCTCCTTACTATCAGGTGGGTGCATGTGAGCACCGTCTGGGTATGCGTTAGTCCTTTCAACTGAAAGTCTGGAGTCATCCTCACCCCCGCTTTGCTTACCCCTGCCGGAGGATGATCCCCTCGCGCTAATCCTTACCCCAGGGGGTTCTCCTGCTAGACTACAAAATCAGGGGCGGATTAAGGTTTCAGAAGCCCCCAGGTATAATACGCACCAACCCCGGCCCAATCTTGGGAAGGAGGGGGGTAACCGAAGATAAGATATTCCCAAGTAACACAAGATATTCCAACAACGTTTAGGAAATGTTGAAGAACAATGTTGCAACTACGTGTAAATGTCCAAAACGTCAACGTTACTCAAATGTTGGGAAGGAACATTGCATTTACGTTGCAAATCGCTACTTATTCATTACATATACGTTGCAGATACGTTTC